AGAGAGGCGGGAAGAGAGGGAGAGAAAGAGAGAGAAAGAGAGGGGAGAGAGGAGAGAGAGAGAGAGAGAGAGAGAGAGAGAGAGAGAGAGAGAGAGAGAGAGAGAGGGGGGGGATATCATGAAAAATAGTTACTTCAAATTTGCTAGCACAAGTATGGGTGTGAAAATTACTATCAATAGACAAAGGGGCAGATCAACAGATACAATAGAAGTGCAGGTAGAGTAGACACAGAGAGATTCTGATTCCGTTTTAATTTATTTAATGAGCATACATTTCTTACCTGATGGTTGTTTCAGCTGTGCATCAATTGAATCCCAGACTTGCTTCCTCTGATCTCTGTTTTTGTAGTCTCGATGAGTAGGGTCCCATATAATTGGCTCGGCTTGTACTAACTCAATTACAAGTTTTCTATAATCATCCATTCTGATAGTGATAGACGTGTATGCTTACTTGCTGATACGGCGATCAATGCGGAGAGCTGGGGTAGATAGCCCCAAATTTATAGTTAGGAGACTCTTGTGTTGACAAGTAAACTGCACAGTATTTTTATAAATCTTTTGAACTAAGCTTTAAAATCGGTCTTTAACGCCTGGACTTTGCTAATTTTGATATGTTGATTCCGAATATCACATTGTTTTGTTTTTTCAAAATAAAAATGTTGAAGGAAATTTTGATTCTCCAATTTTGTTCCCCGCCTAATGTAAATGTCAAAGGAAGCCGGTGAAAGTCGGCTATCACTATCACCACCAGCGTGGCTTGCTTGAGCCCTCGTCAGTCGTCAGTGGCCACACGCCACACAAAAAATGATAGGCTCATTTCACCCAAGGACTTTACTGTATAACCTCCTTGATTTCACCTCAACGTGTACGTGTTGAAACGCTTTTCACGTTACAAGTTTCAAGCCACGTCCTATGTGTTGGCTGCCATTACAATTTTTGTTGTCATTCTTTGTCACACGCGTTTCATGTTTCAGATTTCACATTTCTCGTTTCACCTCTCAATGTGAGGCCGGCTTTATTCGCTTAGCCGATTGAATGCGACCAATCAGCGGCCTTCTTTCATACCAACACACGCGTTGTTGGCATGCGCACATGTCTATTCTAGCGTGTGTCGGGGTCGGATGAGCGGCCTGCACACGTGTGACTGTGTGTGCTGTGTGTGCTGTGTGCGTGTGTCAGGGGAGGGGGGGAGGGAGGTTGTAGTGATGATGGGCGATACAAGTACAAAATATGATATCGAATTCGAAACGGTATCGATATTTTTTCCAAGAAATATCGACTTATCGAAATGTTTCGATATTACTAAAATTATTATCGAATTATTGAAATCGCATCGTAAATATCGACGCACGAAAGACGACTATCTTCTTTGTTGTTGTTGTTGTTGTTGTTGTTTTGTTGCTGTGTGTGTGTGTGTGTGTGTGTGTGTGTGTGTGTGTGTGTGTGGTAGCCTATTTGTTCGAAATGTTTGGAGCCCCGAAGAGCGTGCTCTTCGCCCGGGCCACCGCCTCTCTTGGGTAGCGGGTGAGGCAGTCCAACCTCCCTGAATCCTCCCCGAAGAAATGCCACCGCCGGACGTTACTGTAGATCTAGTTATTTTTGTCCTTTTGTTTCACATTATTTCCTATGACTATGATGTTGTTGCCCATTTAAATCGTTTTCTTCTTATTCTGGACAATTAAAATGACACACGGTCATAAGTAAGAAAATAACGCTCGTGATTTGCGAGATTTTTCTAAAGATTCAGCAAAAAAATTTGTATTTTTCATTTGCAATCGTATTGTTTATTGTCCTTTTATTTTATACAACATATCACATAGATCTACATAAGTTGTTTGCTGTAATTGTTTTTCAATGTCGTTATCAACTTTGTATCATGCATCTTGTTTTCGGTTGAAAAAACAAACAAACAAACAAACAAAAAGAAAACAAAAATGACACTAGATCTAGGAACTATATTTGTGTTATTCACTAAAAGTGAACGTTTTGTATACCATTGCTTGACCCTTGTCCTTGACGTTTGAATGGAAGAAAAGTATTTTGTTGGTAGAAAGGGAAGGAGGGTAGGGAGAGAGAAAGAGAGGCGGGAAGAGAGGGAGAGAAAGAGAGAGAAAGAGAGGGAAGAGAGGGGAGAGAGAGAGAGAGAGAGAGAGAGAGAGAGAGAGAGAGAGAGAGAGAGAGAGGGGGGGGATATCATGAAAAATAGTTACT